TGTGTGTGTGTGTGTGTGTGTGTGTGTGTGTGTGTGTGTGTTGAGGGTGAGGTTAGCAAAGTCTTCCATTGAGGAAATGGGATAAGGAATGGTAAAAGAGGAGGAGGACTAGGGCAGACAGGCAGGAGGGAATCTGAAGAGTTCAGAGTCAGCTACCTCAGGCAATGAGAATACTTCAGATGGGTAGTCCAAGTTCAGAGAGATCAGGAAGAGGGAAATAACACTGGATGTTGAATATGGTTTTCACAACCACATTGACCAACCTGGGGAGGACAAGATGCAGAAGAGCAGAGGCCAGGTATCCTGTAGGTTAAGAGAAGCTTCAGGGAAAAGGGAAGGGAAGGTTCGTAGGCTAAGGTCAAGCTCATCATCTCAGTTAGAAGCAGGGATAGAAGGCAGGATTTCAAAAATACTTAAGACAATTTGCATTCAGTTAGTAGTCAGTGGGATAGAAAGTATACAAGCTACAAGCCCATCACACGGCACATTTCCTGGTCATTGACGATGAGTTAGTGCTCTGTGGGCAAGGTGCTGTGCAGCAGCATTGTTGTGGTGGCACAAATACTAATGTTGAAGTGAAGTACATAATATAAAATGAGTGCTTGTAAGGCCTGATCAACACAATCAAATGCATTATAACAAACATGTAATAAATACTATGGGAAATAGCATTAGAAGTGTTTTGCATCTACCTCTCATTTAGTCCTCCCAATAGAAAGCAGATACATCATGACAGTAGTGCTCTCACACTCTCTGTAGGGAAGGGCTCTTTATGTTCTGTCAAGGTTGTGAATGGTTTATGTTTTGGACAATACAATAAATAAAAAGAATAGAAAACAAAGACATGAGTACAAATCCAGTTCTGTTGTGAGTCAATAGACACAGCTACCCTGTAAAATTGCTGGGGAAAAGGTTGTAAGTGCTTACTTTAGTTTCTGCAGTTAGCTTGTCATGTGTGTGTAGCTTCCATACTCAGAAGCACTAGTGGTCATACTCTGCCTAGTGCTGATGGAGAGTCAGGGGCCAGGCAGGTTGCTCTTTCCTCCCCCTTGTCCCCAGCTCTCCCTAGAGAGCCTAACCCAGTACATGGCAACACAGTGCATGTCACAGGGCAAATATTTGTTAGATGTATACTTGTTAGACAGCCCCTCTTTATGCAGAATAAGATTAGTATTGTAGCAGATCTTTCCAAAAGTTAATTAAAATTTTCACCTGGTGATTTGGCAGGTTTATAAAACTCTTACCTTTACAGATTTCAAAATAATCACAGTTGTTCCCAGAAAGCCCCTTTTGTCCCTTTGCTATGCATGCACTAACCTGAGCCCTGGTTCACCTTGGCTCTAGGTCGTAGCTGCAGCTAAAGTGTGTGGAGCTGCCAATGAGTCACCATCAGTGAAGAGCCTGCACTTGCTTGTTGCTGATCAAGATTTTTCCTTTAAAGCTGGTCAGTGGTAAGTAACATCCTTTTCCCAAGGATATATATTTAAGAAGGTGCCATCAGAAGTGGTTATGTTTTCTTCTGGAAAGAACTTCTAAGGCTACCTTTCATTGCTGGGTTGCCTCCATGTCCCCCACCCTCTAGACTCCCCAAGGGAGAAGAATCTAGGTCATTTTCATTCATGGTGATCACGGAAAATGTGTCTCCTTTCTTGGCCTGAGCCCATGTTCCTCTCAGTCATATATGAAAATTGCTTTGAATTTTCCAGCTTCAAACAAAGCAGCTAGTTCTGGTCCATGGAACCGACAGCTCTGATAATTGCGTTCTGCAGGAAAGCTTGCTAATGGAATGCACTGCAATAATCTAATCTGCTTGAGTTATGTGTTGCTGGGGAGTCGTATGTTTCTAAAAATTAGTCTTCTTTATGTCTAATCAAGAGTAGAAAAAGCAATCTGAAAGAAGAATAACCTGATAGATCATTACAGGACTGACCATCCTCTCCACTGAATTCCTGTGTCACTCATACCTTGTCTGGGTTGAGTTTAAAATATTTTGCTTAATTTATTGTCAGGATTCCTCAATCAGCCCCACGCACCCCTCCACAAATCACAAGTGTGTCCCTTTCAACTCTGAGGACTAATCAGTATGCTGACAGGCTAACAGCCCAGCTGTCCCACTTCCTCCCAATGGCCTCACAAAGCTGCAATTCAAGTAGAATTATAAATAAAGCAGCTTGTATTTCCCTAGGAAAGGTGTGTTTGGGTGTGTGTGGCCTTTATTTAAATAAAGCATTCATTCCTAAATGAATTTCTGGCTTGTCAGTCTCCATAGTATTTCTTAGGAGTCACTTGACTAATTTTGGCAGTCCATCTGGAAATGTGGTTTTGTTAGGAGGAGGATGTGTGATAATAGCAAGAGTTAGCAGTCTTGTGTTAATAGTTTGCCTTTGAATTTAGAACTAGAAAACAAGATGCTGATTGCAATAATTTGCGTTTGTGAAGCAATTTACTGCAATCTTTGCACATGTTCAGTGATACATATTAAATGCATTTTGGCAGTTTTAGGGGGTGGGCAACACATTTACCCCTTCAAAAATGGTTTTGCAGTTATTATATTGAAAAGTAGAAATTTTAATTGTAATGATATGGTTTTGTTTTTTCCCTTATTTCCCTCCGATGGAGCATTTGTGTCCTGTGCATGGCATTGTCTCTGAACCTTCAACTCTGAATTCTTCTTTCCCCAATATCCTGGTTGGAAAAAGATACTCTAGTGTGCTTGTGAGTGTATTAGCACTGACAGGCTGCAATAACCTGATGAGAATAATGTCCTTCCCTAGTGGTGTGTATGGAAATGGGTCCTGCAGTGCTCTCAAGAGAAAAACAACAACCAGGGTTGGTGTGATGTTGCCCATCCCAGTGAGTAGATCTGTCCTTTCACTGATGGTAGCCCTGTTTTTAGTGAGTGCCTGACAGCTCTGGCTTCAGGGGTAAGATGGGAAGGAGATTGTGGTTGATGGCTGGTTAGTGGTAACCATTTCCCTGCTTAGTGTGTATCAGCATTCATTCCTTGGCCCTTGGCACTCTCCTTTTAAAAACCTTAACCCTTGCTGAAACTAGGTATAGGCCCAAACTCTTGAGATTTCAAATGTCAGGTCTGGCCATTCATTCCAATATAACAAAAAATGAGATGATGATAGTGAAAGGCAGAGAAGGAAATTTCTTACAACTGTTGGAAGAGGCCAAGTAAACACTTTACTTCATCTTCAGCTGTCTTCTAGGTACAGAGATGAGCTCTAGGTTAAGTAAACAACTGGGGGCAGAAGGAGAGAGGCATGGATAATTATTCAACAGTCCTGGTTAAAGTATGTCTTGGCTGAGTGTTACTTCAGTGCGTGTTTCTGGAGAGGTTCTGGAGAAGTTGTTACTGCTGCCTTCACTGGTCAAATAAGCAAGTCATGAAATTGCCTGGTGTGTCATAAAGATATTATGGAACAGTCTTGGTCTTTCCATATTCCAAGGTGATTGCTAGGTGGCTGCTGGAGAATGGCTTAGGGCAAAGACATATACATATATAAATATATACACACATATATATGTCTTCATATATACATATATATGTATATATATACATATATGAAGCAGGGAGGGGAGGAGGGCTAGGGTAAGCTTCATCAATATTCACCACCTATGTATATGTTTGGAAATGCCCTTTATATAACTGATACATGCTAATAAAAAGTCTTTAAAGAATAATGGAGGTAAGAATGCCAAACTTTATCTCTGCTTGTGGTTGTTTCATGGACCCAAGTAAGTAGTCGGTGCTTTTCAGAAAAAGCAGCTTTTAAGAACCTCTTACATTACTGTTGACTTACCATGTGGTTCTAGGGGTTGTGAGTTCCTTTTGGTATTTGACCTTCTGGTTTACAGGAGGGCCATTTCTCTTAGGTTGGTGATGTCCCCTCATGTTGTGTTCTTAGTAGATGGCTTTGTGCTTCAGATTCTTTGGAGAAGACTGAGGATTAGGTGAGAGGGAGCTGGGATGTAGCTGCCAGGCAGTCTGTGAAATTAGTATTATGAGTTGAGAGCCACTAGGGATAAAGGAAAGGATCACTTCCAGGCTGTGCTTGGGTGATTTAATTGGGCCAGGGCCTCACACCTCTGAATTCCTCACCTGTGGCCTCCTCTCATTTTGAGAATGAGGTCCCAGATCTAACTTTTGGGTAAACAGACAGATACTGTTCATGAGTAGAGCTTTGGCCCAGGTCCTCATGGAGACACTTTTCACTTTTAGACCAAAAATTGACCTAGGGGTGGGGAGGCGGGGGGGGGGGCAAAGGGGGGAGAGGATCTACCTGTGCTGCACTGTGTTGTACTGGGCCCTTCATAGGGAACTGGTGCTTGACCTGAGAAACCTGTTCTGAGATGTCAAGCAGTCCAGTCCAGAGGGAAAGGCCAATAAAGGAAACTACCTCAAAACATTTCTCATGAGGGTAGAGCTAAAGCTCTTGGGTTCCTCTTACTAAAAGGCTACCTTGTTCCTTGGTAGGGCCTACCCTTCACCTTGCCAGGCTTTACCTGCCTGGGGGTGGAAAGGTTGTGCAGTGGGTAGCTGTTGTATGTTCCAGTACGGCACTGGGTGCTCGTCTCTTGTAGTGGCTACACTGTTGTGAGTGTAGAGACTGCCCAGCTCACATGCTTGCATTCGTCCTGCTAGCTCTAGAATGGGAGCATCTTCCATATTTCCCTAGGCATCAGAATTCAGATCTTTGAAGAAGAAGCAATTGTATTCCCATATTTGGGAATATTTTATGTGTTTATCACAGTGCCTAATGTTAACTTGGTTAGGTTGGTTTTACTTTGTTCTTTTTAGTACTTAACTAATTACATCATTTGTGCTGGTGAGACCCAGAAAGGGGGCAGATTGCAGTTCTTAGTTCTCTGAAGTGAAGTTGTTGGAAAAGTGGTGGACCATTCCTCCTATGACCACACAGAGAAAGCCTTGCATCCCCTGGCTCTTCAGACTCTGGTTTTCCATTACACTGTGGATTTTGTTGTTGTTGTTTTGGCACTACTAAAGCTTAAATTCAGGGCCTTGCACTTGCAGGTACCTTACAACTTGAGCCACATACTTTTAGCCCTGTTCTTCATGTTTTTTGTTTTCTGGGTTGTGTTTTTTTGAACTGGACATGCACTTGGGTCTCAGTGCACCTGATGGCTTCTCACATCACTGGGATCACAGGTGCACCTCTGTGTCCAGCTTCACTACATAGAGATAGAATCTTGTGAGTTTTGTTTTTGTTTTTGTTTTTTGCCTGGGCTGGCCTAGTACCACCATGCTCCCAGTCAGCCTCCCATGTAGCTTGGAATGTTAGGTGTGTGCTGCTACACCCAGCTTTGGATTGAAAAGGGGTCTCAGGTACCTGTCTGCCCTGCTGTGGCCTCAAACTGCTGTCTTCCCATTCTTACCTACCCACACACAGTTCGGATTACAGGCATGAACTTCTGACGCCACCAGGCTTACAATTTGTGAGTTTAAGATTCACAGCATATCCTTGTGCGAAGTTTTAAACCTCCATTTGTGGTAGAATTGCTTTCTTCCTTTTGCCCTGACTCTCGACTGTAGGCAGATTTTATTATATATTTTAATTGTATTTGTTTCCTAACTTTTCTCCCATTAGAGTAGGTAGGGGCAGCAGCCCTCAGCGTGCGTGTGTGCATCCGTGCGTGTGTGTGTGTGTGTGTGTGTGTCTATGCCTCCTACAAGTTCCATGGTGCTGCACATGGGAGGCAGGAACTTTTCCATGGGGTTTGTGCGAGTGAGGGAGTAAGGAGCTCTAAGCATGGCACAGAACTAAATTGGGATCTCACAGTACAACTTCATCATTTGGCCACCGTTTGCATGTCCATTGTGGGTGAGCGCAACACCAGGCACTTGGTCTACTGTGACAGGACCTGGCTGCCTGGTGAACTCATTGGACATCAGTGTGCTGCTGTGCTCTACAGCTGGACTTCTCAGTTCTGTGTGTTCACACTAGGTACCTACAAGTGTGTATTTTTTGTGTGTGTGCCAGTCCTGGGGCTTGAACTCAGCGCCTGGGCACTATTCCTGAACTTGTTCTCTAAAGGGTGGTACTCTACCACTTGAGCCACAGCTCCGCTTCCTGCTTTTTGGTGGTTAATGAGCTAAAAGCATCATGGGCTTTTCTGCCCAGGCTGACTTCAAACCACAGTCCTCAGATCTCAGCCTCGTGAGTAGTTAGGATTACAGGCATGAACTACTGGCACCTGGCTAAAATGGCATTTTTATTTTATTTTTTAAATTTTTTTGTGGGGCTTGAACTCTGGGCCTTGAACTCTGGGCCTAGGCACTGTCCCTGAGCTTTTCAGCTTAAGCCTAGTGCTCTACCACTTGAGCCACAGCATCACTTCTGGCTTTTTCTGTTTATGTGGTACTGAGGAATTGAATCCAGGGCTTCATGCATGCTAGGCAAGCCTTCTACCACTAAGCAACATTTCTAGCCCCAAATGGGCATTTTTAAAAGGTGTTGTTTAAAGCCTAATTCTTTCTTGAAGAGATGTTTTATGAAATGTATATAGTGCATATTTCTTAAGTCCATTCATACAGGGCTTTAAAAATAACTTCATTTATTTATTATTAATGAAAGAGGCCCTTTTTCTTCTGAAGGTAATTTTCCAAAGTTACTAAGAGAGTTGCTTTTACTTATCTTAGAAGAGTAGTAATCAGCATTGATCAGCAGGGGGTGCTGTGGTTCAGGAGATGAAGCAGGGGAAAGTAGTTCATTGATTTTTTTTTTTTTTAAGACCTGGAAATAATGATGATAGTGGTGATTTTGTATACCTCCTGTCTGATAGCATACAGCAGCTGTGTTATTAATAAATTTGAACTGTAGTCTTAAGTTTTTACCCTGCCTAAAATGAAAGGGAAGCTAAAGTATTCACGGGGAAGAGGCAAATGCATATAAATAAATATAGACTGGAGACCTACATTCCCAATCCAGGACTTGCCCCCCCCCTTTGGTTGTGTTTTTTGTTTGTTGTCAGTTGTGGGGTTTGAACTCAGGGCCTGAGCTCTGTCACTGAGCTCTTTCGCTCAAGGATAGTGCTGTACCACTTGGAGCCACAGCTCCACTTCCAAGGTTTTTGTTTTGTGTTTTTCTTCTGTCAGTTGTGGGGCTTGAACCCAGGGCCTGGGTGCTGTTCCTAAGCCTCATTGTGCTCAAGGCTAGCACTCTAACAATTGAGCCACTTCACCAGGCCTTTTTTAGGACTAAAAATAGTGAATATTTGAGGCTATAGAGGATAGTATCCCCCCCTCCCCCTATCCACCCTGTCCTGGGGCTCAAACCCAGGGCCTGAGTACTGTCCATGAGCCTCTTTGTGTTCAAGGAAAACACTTTACCACTTGAACCACAGTGCTATTTCTGGCTTTTTTGAATAGTTTATTGGGGATAAGAATCTCACAGGGACTTTTCTGCCCCAGCTGGCTTCAAACCACAATTCTCAAATCTCATCCTTTTGAGTAGCTAGGATTATGGGTATGAGCCACCAGCACCCGGCATTTAAGTGTACCTTAAGGATATGAATCAAATCATTAAGAGAATCTTGAACTTTATATCTAAGCTTATTTATAGGAAAACAAATAGACACAGAAATCTTTTGTTCTGGTGGCAGAGAAACCCCTAGAATGGATGTTTTCAGTTACCTAGACATGATAATTAGAACGTTATGTGCCAGGTTCTTTTCTTGATAAGTGACCCAGTTTGTTGCATTTCTTATAAGTCACTGAAAACAAAGCATTGAAAATTAGAATTCACCAGTTCTAGATTAAGGCCATGTCAACTTATATAAGTTTGGCAATGGGTTTGGCTAATGGGTTTTTGTTGCCTTTTGAAAAA